ACATATATCAAAGAACCTACTACATTAGCATATGGAATGCTACTCATATAGATTCTTTCAGCTTCAGTACTCAGACTTTGAGTAGTACTAAGCTTAAATTGAGGATTTGTTGGAGTCACAACAGGCTTTGAATTTGACATACCAAACTTGTCGAGAAGCTTTTGTAGGTATGTCTCTTGAGATAAGCACAACTTCTACTGCTTTCTATCTCTTCGGATGTCAATCCCAAGAATCCTGGTGGCAGCTCCTAGATCCTTCATTTCGAACTTCTTGTTGAGTTAAGCCTTCACCTCCATTACATCCTCGACATTATTGCTACCTATGAGGATATCGTCCACATAAAGCAACAAAATAACAAGTGAATTTCCAGGTCAAAATCTGAAGTAAACACAATGGTCGAATTGGCTCCTAGTGAAACTAATGTGTGTCATGAACTTGTCGAATCTCCTGTTCCACTGTCGAGGAGGTTGTTTCAGGCCATACAAAGACCTATTCAGTTTTCACACATAATGTTCCTTATCCTTTTCTGCATACCCTTCAGGTTGATGCATCAGGATCATTTCGTCTAGGTCACCATACAGAAATGTTGTCTTCACATCCATTTGCTCAAGTTTCAGGTCGAACTTCGCCACCATGGCTAACAACATTTGAATGGATCTATGCTTTACAACAGGTGACAACACATCATTAAAGTGGACACCTTCTTTCTGAGTGAACCCCCTAGCAACCAATCTTGCCTTAAAGCGCTTCTTCATCACTCATTTGATTCCTTCGTTGACCTTTAAAATCCACTTACAACTGACTAACCTTGCTCCTATAAGTTTCTCAATCAGCTCCCAAGTGTTATTATCATGAAGAGATTTCATCTTGTTATCCATGGCTTTTCGCCATTCAGTCTTGTTTTGACTCCTCATAGCTTCTTTGTAATCTCTAGGTTCTTCCTAAAGTATCTCACTTGCAGAGATTAAGTCAAAAGCTATAAGATATGCATAACCAAATCTCTGAGGTGGCTTGATGACTCTTATCGACCTATCTCTTGCCAATAGTTAGTCATTGACAGTTTCCTCAGCGTCTTCAGCATCTTGCTCTTCTTCTTCAACTTCATCTAGGTTATGCACTTCAGCATCACTATGCTCCACCTCAACAGGAATCTCTACCTGTCCAGCTAATTTTCAGAGATTTCTGCACTTCGACCAGCATCACCAATTTTCTTGAACGCCATCTCGAATTCATTGAAAACTACATCACGACTTGTGATACGCCTTCTGTGACCTGGTCTAGGCACCACAACCTATAACCCTTGACTCCCTCAAGATATCGAAGGAACATGCATCTCAGAGCTCTAGGTTCGACCTCTTCTTGCCTAATGTGAGCATAAGCTAAACAACCAAATACTTTTAGTTTGTCAAGATTAGGTGGTTGACCCGACCAAACTTCTTCAGGTGTCTTCATTCCCAAAACAATCGAGGGACATCCATTTATCATGTAAGCTGCTGTCGAAACAGCCTTTTCCCAAAACACCTTCTTCAATCTAGCACTAGCCAACATGCATCTAACCCTTTCAAGGATTGTTTGGTTTGATCTCTCAGCTAAGCTATTTTGTTGAGAAGTACTTGCTACAATCTTATGCCTTACAATCCCAGATTCGACACAGTAACTGCCGAAAGCTTCATTGCAGAACTCAAGGCCATTGTCAATTCTCAACCTCTTAACCTTTCTTCCAGTTTGAGTTTTGACCAGAACCTTTCAACTTTTGAATTCTCAAAAGTTTCATCCTTAGTCTTCTGAATGAATACCCATAATTTTCTAGAATAGTCTTTAACTATGGATAGAAAATACCTTGCACCCGAATGTGAATGATTCCTTGAAGGCCCCCAAAGATCAGCATGGATGTAGTCAAGGGACCCATGTTTTCTTTGTTTACCTTTGTTAAAATTCTCCCTATAGAATTTTCCAAATACACAAGGTTCACAAAACACCAACTTCTCAACTTTATCACCACCTGGCAGGTTCTGTTTCCCCAATTCGACCAGGCCTCTTTTGCTGACATGGTCCAATCTCATGTCCCATAATTCTGCCTTCAACACCGGTTTCGTGGATGCAAAATATGTTGAACCACTTAAAACCTCAGTCTCAAGGGTATATAAGCTTTATTTCTTCACGGCTCTCAAGACTTCCTTCGACCCTTTCATGACTTTTAGGATACATTTCTCTTCTTTGAAGACATATCCTTTCTTGTCGAATTCACCAAGAGAAATTAATTTTCTTTTAAGGTCAGGTACATACCTAACCCCAATCAATAGCCTTATTGACTCATCATGGAGTTTGGATCTCACAGATCCAATACCTGCAATCTTGTAAGCTTTATTGTTTCCCAGCAGCACTTATCTATCATCTTGATCACATAATTCTTCAAACACATCCTTGTTTGGAGTCATATTCCAAGTACATCCATAATCCATTCATTGTAATAGTTGTTGCTCGACACCACAAGGACATCAGATGATTCATAATCATCTTGCACAATAGGTACATTGCCATTGTCCTTACCTCCATGATTATCCAGGCGCTCATAACACATCTTTCTTGTGTGACCCTCCTTCTTACAATGATAACACTTAATCCATGAAATATCACCACCATGAGACTTCTACTGAGTTTTACCTTTCTTCTTTACAAACCTATCATCTCTCTTCGAGGATTTCTCCTTCACGGATAACCCTTTTCCAACTGATGATGATGGTTTCTACTTCTTTCTTTCGTTCAAATCCTTCGAATACAAGGTTGCTTGAACTTCTTCAAAGGTCAGAGACTCTCTTTGATACAAGAGGGTTTCTTTGAAATGAGCATGTGACTTAAGTAAAGAACACAACAATAACAATGTTTGATCTTCGTCATTGATGGTAACATCAATATTTTCAAGATCCAGAATCATTTTGCTTAATGTATCCAGCTGTACCGTCAACACCTTATCTTCATTCATCTTGAATGGATACAAAGCTTGCTTCAAGTACAAACGATTATAACAATAAAAACGATTATAACAAAGAGAGAAAGAAGAGAGGATAAAGAAGAAATAAGAATAAGGATTAAGGCAAATTGTTTACTATTCACTTTTTCATTAATGGTTTACAAATGAATAACAGTTGGTCTCACTCAACAACGTGAGTGATCTAACCTATTTATAGACTAACTAGCTAACTTGCAATACAAGCTAGCTAAATAATTGGATCATTAACACAATGCCCAATTCGACATAATAAGTCAACAATTTATATTTCAACATTACATACTAAAACTAGCTTCGACTACATTATGTAACCCTTCGACATCAGCATGTGACTCAGTTTTAACTCCATGCTTGTCTCCTGTCGAAACACATGAAAGCTATTCCTCGACAAAGATAGTGTTCGACCCAAAATCTCACAATTATCTATATCAATATGATGAACAGTGTTATTATTTATAAACAGTGTTATTGTTATAAATGAGAACAATTTTCTTATTGGTTCAAATATTTTTATAAGTATTTTCAAAACAAAAATAATATTTATACACGAACAAAATATATTGTTGATTCAAATATTTTTATATAAGGGAATAACTTTACTATCGATTCAAATATTTTTATAAATAATTTAAAAAAAATAATATCAATATACGAGAAACAATATATTGTCGATTAAAATATTTTTATATATAGAAAAAATACTATTGTATTAAATGAGAACTTCTTTACAACTCATTAAAATATTGAATAATAGAAATTTATCGACTATTTTTTTCAAATATGTGAAAAAATTAAGGATTATTATAAAAAAAATTAAATACATCTTTAAAAATTTTGTTCTCTGTTATAAAATAATTGTCTTATTTAAAAAAACTAAAACTACTAATTTGTCAAATACAAGTTTCAATAGTTTTTATTATGGTTAAATATGTTTGTGCTTATAAATATTTTAAATTTCGTTTTTAGTCTCTCAACATATTTCCTTTAAAAATGATTGTTATAAAAAAATTCATTTACACTTTTGGTCTTTTCTACAACTTAGCGACTATATTTACAACTTAATAATAGAATTAGCAACAATTTTAGCCACAAAATTAGTGACTGTTATTATTATTCTTAAATTATTTTTTTTTTAATTTCTATATTTTTTGTCCGTCTATAAACAAATGTGTATTCAAAATCATATCCCGTTAGTTTATTACTAAATTATATTATGAAAAAATAAATGGTTAAATATGTTTTTGATCCCTATAAATATCTCACATTTCATTTTAAGTCCCTATAAAGAAAAGACATATTTTGATCCCTACAAAAAGAATTATATATGATGTTTTAATCCTTGCTATTTTCTAAAATTTTAAAAGCTATTTAATTACCTCTAAATTTTTAAATTTTTGAATGATTTTTTTCATGTGTTAAGATTACTATAAAATATTTCTTTACTAAATTATATAATTTTTTTTAAATGAAAAGAATTAAATATAATTTTTTTTTAAATTTTAAAAAATAATGATATAAGTAATGAAAATCTTATATTATAAATCAAATTCATACAGGGTCGTGGTTTTCTTCTACCAGATGATGTCTTTCAGGTATATTCAAACTATTTTTCTGCCAATCTCCTCAAATTTGTAAACTAAAACACAAACACCCTAAATATCTCCCTACTACCTAAAAGCACCCACTGTCACCTGATATATACAACCACGGCTACTCTACCTACTCTTCACTAACTAACTACCTAACCCACGGCTACTCTTCACCTCTAAAATTCATGGAAACCCATGAACCGAGCTAAGTGGCGGAAGATGGAAGCAAGACATGTGAATAAATGATGTGCAACATTGAGTGGCAGAGGAATCAAGCTTTCATATATTTCTAGGTTCATATTTTCAACTCATAAATCATTAATAGTTAACCTGAACTAAAAAACCAATAAAAAGAACATGAATAAAAATCCTTTAATGTTGTTATTACATTGAACGGTGAACTAGTGACCTTGCATATCAAGCATTTCATCGAGGCGTTTCAATTTTTCCAAGCCTTCACTAATCAAGTAACGGATCCTTTGCTTGTCATTGCACTTTCGATTATTTTCCATCTCTTGTCTGATCATTTGTCTCAGTTCACCTGCACAGGAAATTCATTTAACAAGCACTCAATAATCATGAATTGAAATAAAATGAGAAAGTTTACCTCTAGCAGGAGGAGGTGCTCGACCGGCAACTCTCAAACCTTGTCTGTAGAGCTTCAAGACTCGAGCGCGAATAAGAAAATCCTGAAGATCCATGGAGAACCTATAAATAGATAAAGAAGTTCAGGGCATAACATCAGTGGTGCATTTTATCAAACAGATGGCGTGCGTTTTTATATTAGCTAGTGCCTAAAATTAACAGTGACATTCTTAAACAGAACAGAACATATAATTGAAGAGAGTTTACTCTGTTTTCTATTGTCGTTGGTTTTGCAAGGTAAGTTTGTCGTTGGTTTTGCCCACTGTTGTTATTTGTTAGTGCTTTCAGTACACAACACTGGGAATGGATAGACTCTGCTGGAATTTTCATTGGATAAATTTTTTTTATTATTATTTTGTTATGTTTTTTTATTTTGAATTAAAAACATAAGTAAAAATTAATTATCTTAAAAAAATTATGAAAATAAGATGAAGACATTTTATAAATAATGTTATAAGATATTTTCATAAGTTATCTTAAATAAATAATTTTATAAAATTTATGCTAATAGGTAAATTAAAATAAGTCAATGTAAATAAATATTTATTCTTATTGATTTTTTAGTTTGTTAGTATATTTAAAATAACAGATTTTATAAAGGCTAACAGATTAACTAATTCTGAAAAAAGATTAAATTCGACCTAAAAATAAACTTATGACAGACTATAAATCAGATTTAGACTATAATTTTTTAACATGTGAGATTTAAACTTACCAAAGCCTATTTCTACTCCTAATTCCAATTTTCTCCTGCCAAAACATTTATACTCCCAACAAACTAACTTACTCTTATCATAAACGATTCAAATTTCTACAAAAGAAAATTCAAATTTCAATTATGATTCAAATTTCTACTCCTAATAATAAAACCTAACTTAAAAAAAGCTGGTTCAACACAAGGTAATTCCACACATGTGCAAAGAACATAACTTCCATTACATTGAAGTCACAGAACACATCATAAAAAAACACCAATATGATTACGGCAGAGGGAAATTCGCTTACATGCATGAACCACACTCGTCATAAATAAATTCATACTATTCTTCATTCTTAAATAATAAAAATTGAAATGAAACATCTATAAATTCATTCATATATGAATGCAAAATTAAAAATGAAATATTCTAAAATCTTCATAGGCTATATACATTTTTATAGTTTTTAAACACTTTTAAAAGTTTTAGAGTTTTTATGCAAAAATATTCGAGATAATTCAGTTTTTTCGAATTTATACAAGACGGATAAAAACTCAAATAGAGCGAAGAGTGTCTAGAATTTATTCTAGATGATATGTGTTTTTTGTTATGATTTTTTTGAATTTGAAATGAAGTATTTATAAGTCATATTAGTGTTGTTTCACAAGATTGAAAGCATTGGTGAAACAACTTTCTTTCAGCAATACTTTTACAAAAAATTACAATGTTTTGCCTACAACAACACTATTCAAGAGTTGCATCCGGCAGCCGGCCGCTGGAGTTCAACCGGTGACACGAGTAACTCAATTGCTTTGATGCATCATGCCTAAGTGCTAAAGTACAGACTACAAGGCTTAAGGGAAATCCCAATCCAAAACACAGTGGAAATTAAAATTTTTCCTTTGGTGCTCCTTACGAATAAGCATGATCAGTGATAGAAGCAGTTACCTCTTGTTGCAATAAAACCCTTGATGTTGAATTCAAAGGAGTGATCACGAGCATTGAATGATGAACAACGCCTCTACTCAGTCCACGTAAACAGATTCCTTCAGCCTTAATGTTATCTGCTATGATTGAAGGCTTTGAGTGTGTGTGTGTGTGTGTGTGTGTGTGTGCGTGTGTGTGTGTGTGTGTGTGTGTGTGTGAGAGAGAGAGAGAGAGCGAGAGAGAGAGAAGGAAAATACGGTTAGCCTTTCACATACCAAATTTTCATCAAGTGTGAATGCTTCTGCACAAGGGTTTCATTTATAGAACAACTTGTGTGGTTTTCAAGCTAAAAAGCCCACTTAAGTGCACACGCGCCATATCTTACTGTGTATCGTATATCACTTAAGCGCGTGATATTTTTGCACCTCGAAAAATTAATGAGAAACGACCCTCGCGCTAAAGGCACAGAAATGCAGTTCGACAGAGTCGCCACCGAACTTTATTTATCCTAAAGAGATGAGAAAGGAAAATATCGAGAAAACCTTTTAAGCGAAAGGATAAGAACACGGTCCTCGCAACCAATGTTTCGGGTTCGGGATTCGGTTACGCAAGGTGAAGGTATTAGCACCCCTCACGTCCATTGTACTCAACGGGAACCTCTTAGTACGATTTGCGAGGAACGTTAGCTAAGTTTATTTGTTTTCTTCTCAATAATAAATATGAAACTATATGATAAAAAGGATAACGACACTAGGGGAAATAGGTGGTTGTAGGATAGGGTGCTCGGCAAGGATTGGGGCCCTTGTGCCTACGTATGCTCATTCGGATGAGAATGAGAAATTAGAGTTGTCGTAGTTCGACTACTGGAAAGGATGAGGGGAAATGGGAGATTGAGGGAAATGTGCTCGCCAAGATCATCACAATCTTATGCCTACGTATCTTACATTTAGACTAGAATGAAGAATCAGAGTGTCCGTAGTTTATGGAGACGACCACGAAAAGAGGGGATTGAATTGTTAAAGTTGGTTTGGATGACGATTACTCGAAGCTTAAGAAAGGCTCATCGGGCTCAAGTAATCGGGAGAGTGAGCCAAAGACTTGGCTCTCTCTCTCTCTCTCTCTCTCTCTCTCTCTCTCTCTCTCTCTCTCTCTCTCTCTCTCTCTCTCTCTCTCTCTCTCTCTCTCTCTCTCTCTTCATCTTGATATAAAGATGTGTTTGAAAGGTGTTTTGAATGATGAGTGGTTGGAAGATGGTTGAATGTTGTTGAGTTGGAAATATTTTAGAGGCGTCAATTGCTCACACACGAGTAAGATAACTTGCATCCAAACAACTAAAGAGAGATCAAAGGCTCAACTCCTCTCTTTTTCACCTTGAAAAAAGTTAGGTAGTTGTTGATTGTATTAATAGTTTGATTGAGAAAATCCGTTTGACGTTGGATTAAGGGTTTGATTATATTTGCGTGCAAAGACGTGTTAGAAAAGAAGTTGGTTTGAAAATGGAACCGGCTCGACGACGAATCGAGGGTTAGGTTGTGAGAAACGATATTAGTACCTGAGGGTCCTCCTAATAATGAAACCACGATGAAATGTGTGAGTGTGTGCGATAGGTTGATGGTGAATGCGTACAAGCAATCGACTTACGAAGGGTGTTTAAAAATGACTTGATGAAGAATCGAGAATTAGTTTGAAAACGGTTTAGTTTACGCTAGTCCCTAAGGGTGCTCCTAGAAGATAAACCACAATCAAAGAAAACATGAATGCTTACATCGAAATGGGAGCGAGGTACATGTAAGTTACACGGTATTGCACGAAATAAAAGGGTTCATTGTCAGGTAGCACAAGAGGAAGTTGTGTGTGCGAAGTGCCCTAAACTAGGCCTTGAGCAAGAGTCGGACAAAAGCTCCAAGTTAGGGTTTCTAATAAAGTCCAAGTTCCGTTGATCGGAAAAGTAACCAACACTCCACCAATTTAGGCTTTTATGTTTCGATAGTTTATAATGTGTTTTCGAAGAGTGCGAACAAGTTATGATGAGTGGAAGGCTGGTAGTTGTGTTGAAGGTTGAAGAGGAAGAAATTTGTGGATTTTCTGCAGCATTTATTTGGTTCTAAAAAACTTCCCAAAATGAAGGAAAGACGTGGTTGTCATATAGAGAGACTTGAGGGTAGAATGGGAAAGGAATTAATGAGCTGGAAATAGTGTAGGAACATTTTTCTAGGTTTTGTAATGAGGTTTTGGAAAGAACGTGCGTTGTAGTTTTTTTCGTGTAGAAGACTGGTGTGTTGTTCGGCTTGTGAAAATTGTGGTTGGCATGTGATGTGTACTAAAAAACTGTTTTGAAACTTTATGTGAAAATGCAGGAAAAAATTGGTACGTGTATTTGCAGGTTTGTTGTATTGACTTGGTTTTGGAAATTGGTCATGGCTTGCCTAAATTATGATGTGGGACTTGTCAAATGTGTATATTGTGAAAAGTGTAATACTGATGAATCATTGTATTGTGTGGGTCATGGCATTGTGGCTTGGAGAATTCTGTGTTTTTTTTATTATGATTTGTAAAAGGACTAGGTAATAAAAAAAATTGGCCTTTGTTGCAATTGGCACCCCTAATCCATTTTGAGTCATGCTTAGATATTGAATTGTAATTTGGTAATAATTCTTGTATTGGAATTTCAACTTTGAGTTGGTCCTAATACATTTTGAACATTTAATGAACTTGCCTTGTTGGACCTTTGGTAAAACTTTTGTATTAAAACTTTTTCGTTTGGGTCATAACTTGCTATTCGCACCCTTCATGAATTTGCTTGAAGGACTACTTGAAATCATCTCCTCCTTACTTTAAACTAATGAAACTTGATCCACAGATGACAAATGAAACTTGAATTTCCATATTAATATCATTCTTGTATTGAAACTAAGAATCACACTTGAAATCAATTTCATCTTCATAAATTCTTCACCTTAAAAACCATCTCGAGATAAATGATCCACAGATGAAACAATTTTGAACTTAACCATGTGAACTTGAATTGTTGAACCAAATTTGAACCATAAAATCAACACAAAGTTGTATCACGAATGCACAAAAACTCTATTTGAAAGAAATTGCTCCTTGATGACCTGAGACTTGATCCATACACAAATGACTTAAATTGGCACAGAAGCCCTAATTAAAACCTCAGACACACACGCCACCTGAATCGTGCACATCCTGTCCTTGATCTTGAAACAAACTCTTGCTTGAACAAGATTAGGTCAAAACCAATTAACCTCAACCAAAACTGCCTACACAATTGCCCTGATAGCCTCAAATAAATCTTACAATAACTTGAGCTAAGCAATAAGAAGAAAGGAAGCAGAGACAACATATTTTGGATTTTTGAAATGTAGTTAGTTAATGGATATACATATGAAGATTTATATACAAGTAGGAAA